TGGGTTCCCTATCACCAGCTTTCCTGTCCCTTCTTCCTTCTGGCCCTTGTCCCTGGACTGCTGTGCCTCATTAGTCCCATTTGGTTTTATGGGGCTGTCTACTCCCCGGCTGAACGGTGAACCTCGGAAATGACTTCACCACTGAGCTAAAAGGGTGTCTGGGGGCCATACTCTCGGGGTTTCTCCAGTTTCCTTTAGGTCATTAAATCTGGTCTTTTTTTTTTGTGAGTTAGAGTTTTGTTCTACGTACTTCTCCAGCTCTGCCCAGAACCCTCTGTTGTGATCCTGGTCAGAGCAGTTGGTGGTGGTAGCCGGGCACCATCTATCTGTACTGGACGAAGTCTGGTGGAGGCCTTGGTAGTTGTGGTTCACTTGGGGAATTTTAAAAATAATACTGATGCCTGGCCCCATCCTGAGAGACACCCCACACTCCCCCACCTTAGTTTCTAATTGTACATTTCAGTGACCAAAGAGATTTTGATACAATTGCATGGGTCCTCCCAGTTCCGTAGACTTGAAGAACCGTGAAGAAGGTGAAATATGCCTTGATCATCTGCAATTTATATTTATTGTCTATTAATATTGGGCTTTTTTTGTTTGTTTTATTAAAAGTTTTTTTAGAGTGTTAGGAATTGGAAGTACCTTCCTTTATAGTTTATTTCCATCTCTGAAATTGAAAAGCGTGTAAAATTAGTCATTTTTCTTCATTACATTAAATGAAATATTTATTTTCTAAACTGTGGAGCCATACTGATTCAAGTACATAGCAGATGTCTTTGAGATATAATAGTACTAACTTCTCTCATAAAATTTGTGAAATTGGAAATAATTAAACAAGTTTTTAGAAGTTTTGTACAATCTTTTAATTTTGCATATTTTAGGTAGGTTTTATGAGAGATTATTTGTACAGAATTGCCAGACTGAGTTATTAGCATTAAGTGCCTCAACTGACTGAGTCATTTTTGACAGTGAAATAAATAAATGTTCACATTTGTTTAAAATAGATAAAAGATACATGTAGAGTTGATCCTATTTGTTTTTAAATGCACAGTTTGCTAATTAGTAATTAGTATTCATGTGCATCTTGACTTGAAAATTTGTATTTAACAAGCACATTCCAAGCCATATATAGTAATAACAATAAATTTACATTTATGAAGTCACTTGATCACCTTCACACACAGTTGTTTACTGTAAAGCAAAATGTTGATAAAGGTTAGAATGATGGTCTTTTATTATTGACAATTTAGAAACATGTAGATAAAAACTGAGTTATTAGCAGATTAAAGTTTGTAATTTCTATATTATGGTATTAGTTTTTCAATATAAAAAACTCTTTAGTAACTGTTGTGATACAAACAGTGACAGGTAAGTTAGGAGCAAAGAATAAATACGTTTAAGATAAGATGCTTTTTTCTAGATTATGGTTATACGACATAAATCCTGAAAGATAAATGTGAGAACCTCATTAATATAATAGAAGTACTTGACGGGAGTCAATAAAGAAGCAGGTTTGTTGACCTTAAGCAGGTGTTCCTTTATTTACCATGAACTTATTAGCCACTTTGAAATAAATACTACATATCCATAAAAAATTGTCTGACTTTTTCCTGCTTTAGTAGTTATGTTGAAATTAATTAGATGATCCACTTCTTAACAATAGATGAACTAAAAGAAGGAGGGAGAATTCACTCTACTTATGGTATTTATATATAATTACTTTTTAATATGGTTAATTACTTGAGGTCAAGGATCACACCACCCCCAGTCCTGACTTAGGACAGGTAGTTAGGCCATCAGTAAATCCTTGTTGGTTGACTTTTTACTCTGCCTGGGGGAAATTATCTAAAATTTGTCTGTTTTGAAGGATGAGAATTTACTAGTTTTCGGTTATGTTGATTTGTGCATTGTAATCTTACTTTCAGGTATCCAGCATCATGTTAATATTGGCCCTGACTTTTTACATTTGTAGACCTGTGTAAAGGTTAGGAAACATGCCACTGTTCTCATCTCTGGTGGTAGTGAGGTGAAATCCAGGTGCTCATCTTGGTGTTCTCAAATGAATTTCCATCTTTCAGATCCTGAAACATTTTAACCCTTTCCCCAGAGATCTGTTGGTGCTACTCCGGACTGATTTCCACCTAGCAACTCCATTTCTCTAGCAAGTTGGTTGCTGTCTTGTGGTGTTATTTTCTGGACCTAATATTAGCTGTCTTGTAGTAGGCAGGTTAGATGCAGTGGTTCCAGATCTGGATTTTCTCTGTGCTTGCCACTTGCATGTCTGGGTTTCTAAGCAAGCCGTGTATAGTTTCATGTACTGATGAACTTACGTTTATTTTATCAGTGTAGTGGAAGATGTATCCTCATCAGTGTCAGTTACTGTCATTTTTCTTTAAAGGCCAGATACTCATTTTTGCTCAAGGAAAAGCCTAAGAACATAAATGTTTTTATTTTCTAGTGTATTGCATGCCATTTTCATAATCACCGTTCTCATTGAGAGAGAAGCAGCCTCGCTTTTTTTCCCCCCAAGATCCCATTCGTGGACAGTTTCTTCCCTTCTCCTTTTTTATTTATGTTCTACCTTCCTCCTTTTTATATGCCAACTTAGGCACTTGGGGGAAGATAGAATATTAAACAAGGTACATTACTTGTTTCAGATTATTTCCAGTAAAATTGTTTGAACACTTGCCCCATAGATGATGCTGAATAATCCCCTATTTGCTGGAAACCCTCAGCTTCAAGAACAAATGAGACAACAACTCCCAACTTTCCTTCAACAAGTGAGTAAGAAAAGATGCTAGCTATCTTTGGTAATAATTTGCTTGAAAAAGTTTGATGGTAAACAATATCCTTATTCTTCTCTGGCTGATAGCAAAATATAGAAGAGTCAGGTAATACTGTGAATTCACAGAGAAGTCTGCTTGATCTTAATTGAGCCCATTTCACTGCTGATCTTTTGTTCGTATTTCTTAAACATAAATTTTGAGGAAAGAACCATTTTGTTTTTGCTTTTGAGGATTTAGGATTTTGAATGCTCTGTTAATACCATAAACCATTTCTCTTCACTTTAATAGCTTAGAAGTGCTTCACTGTCCCATGTTATGCTTTAGGTTTAACCAATCTCAAGTAACAGGAAAGAGCTACCCTATCCTATCTCACAAGTTTGGTTTCTTTGTAATGTTTTGATTTCCTCCAAATCTAATATAATGCTTATTTTCCAAGGGGTAGATAGATCTCATTTCCTTAAACTCAGAATTAGCAAGAATAAAATTGTCAGTGTTGTCATATAAAGAAGGTTGTTTTATAAAATGTATTTGGGATTGCCCTAGTACTTGATTATTTCAGTAGGGAAAAGATAAAACCGAAGTCAGGCTTGATGTTCTTGAAGCTGGTAGTTCCAGGGCTTTGAAATATTATGCAAGTGATTCTCAGGCCTGTAAACCATTACCCAAGGTTAGTGTGTCTTTGATCTATTGTAATGATGTAAATTCAATCTATCTTTCTTGGTCAGGTAGGTGGTGTGTATTTGGAAGTAATGAAGCTAAACTCAGAATACATGTATTCTCTAATTTGGAAATAATTGTTTTATCGAGTGTATTAAATTGTTAAGTCAGTGACTGATACCAGTTGGTTAGGAGGATTATGCAGCTTTTACTGTATTACCATAATTATATGAATTGTGTATTTGGAAGTTGTTTGTTAGAGATACTACTTTATCATCTGTTGGAGAAGGAGACCCGTTTTGATTTCCAGAATAGCTCGTGATTGTCTTCCATTATGAAAAATAGCTTTCATGATAGTCTTGGGGGGGGCGGGGTCAAGTACTGTTACACTGTTACGTACACTAGATTATGTCATAAAGACGGAGTGCTTGTGTTTATTTTGGGAAAGAAATTATGGCTCACCAGTGCCCAGCAATAAGGTTTTAGATCTTATCCAGAAATGGTAGCAAAGAAAAGATTTAAAATTTATCTTCACTCATTTTAATTCTCTTGTAACCCTGGTTTTCTTTCTTCCTTAGATGCAGAACCCTGATACACTGTCAGCAATGTCAAACCCTAGAGCAATGCAGGCCTTGTTACAGATTCAGCAGGGTTTACAGACATTAGCAACTGAAGCCCCCGGCCTCATCCCAGGGTAAGCTTATTTTGGGAAGATTATGAAAGTGCATAACATTACTTTCTCTCCCTGAGAATTTCAGATTTAATACCATTCTGCCTTTTTGTTGTTGAGATTGTTTTTAAGTGAGAATATTCAAAGTTAAAAAGGTTTGTTTTAAGAAGATAGTTAATACTGTGTTAATGTCAAAATGTAACTTATCCATCATCTGGCCTGTCCTCTTGTTTTGTGGGAGTTCAGGCTTATGACTTACTTGCGCTTTCCCCAGGTTTACTCCTGGCCTGGGGGCGTTAAGCACTGGAGGCTCTTCTGGAACGAATGGGTCTAGCTCTGCACCTAGTGAAAACACGAGTCCCAGCGCAGGAACCACTGAAACCGGACACCAGCAGTTTATTCAGCAGATGCTGCAGGCACTTGCTGGAGTAAATCCTCAGGTAATGATACTTTTCTGTTCACATTTTGAATTCCTTAATGTTATAAATTTAGAAATTAAGAAAAAACAAAAGTAGCAGTTCTGTAGAATTTAGTTTGTAATGAAAGCAAAACCATAAGGATATTGAGTCTAAAAAATGACATTACAAAAATTGTGTTAACTTTGGTCCTATATTAGGCACTAAACCAAAATTCCAAACTTGCTGCCATCGAGTCGATTCCAACTCATAGCAGCCATATAGGACAGGGTAGAACTGTCCCATAGGATTTCCAAGGAGCACCTGGTGGATTTGAACTGCTGACCTTTTAGCTAGCAGCCGAAGCTTTTAACCACTACCCACCACGGTTTCCATTAGGCACTAAAGGAAACATTTTTGTAATTGTAGGGAAGACATGCTACAATTTAATGCCTTATTTTTCAGAATAGTTAAACTTTTAGAAAGCATTCTTTTTTTGGAGTCCCTTTTTAGCATTATTTGAAATGTTCTGTTTTAAAAAGTTTGTCGGGGAAGGGTAGAAACAAGTACCTCCAGGACATTTTGCCAGTGTTAAACCAGATGAACTATAGTCTTTGTATATTGACTTTGTGCCAGTATTCGTGTGTGCAGAGATGATTGCCAATACGAAAGTAAACTTTGAACAAATTTAAACCTATCATAGTAGGTTGCCCCCAAACTTTTTAATGACAGAAATACTTCATGGTCTACTAGATGCTTTCTGATTTCAAGCCTTATTAAATACAGTAGACAGACAGGGATCTATCCTATATGTATTTGTATTCTTGACCCCTAGCATAGCATTTGACTTGTGGTAGTAGGTACTCAGTAAATATTTATGGAATTAAAAAAAAAATTTTGGCCAGAATTGATGAATCACTTACGTATTTTTGTCTTACCTCATTTCTGAAGAAAGATTTGTTGCAACTGAATTGTCAGGATTAGGAGTATAGTTTGTGGGCCTGAAAATGGAGCTCTTCTGTGAAGAATTGACTGGCCAGTGCAGGAATTGAATCCATATTCTTAGCTTTCATTGGAACTTTAGAGTTTTACGTATAAGGACACTGACTTTATAGATTCACTGTTGGTCAGTAGTTGCCATTGAGTTGATTACATTTAATAAATTTAATGAATCTTTTTCCAAACTGTGTGCAGATGTACTTGTAAGTTTTCCTGCATTTTTACAACCCTGTCAGATGTATCTAAAATAATGGTTAAAGTTTATTGACCTTTTTTTTTGAGCAGAGTTATGTGATCTTTGTTTGGCATGATTGTTAGTTGTAAGCTAGACAATTTAGAATAAAAAAGTGCTAATAGACTTTTAAATTGTTGAATATGTTTTATGAAAGTTTTTAAAGCTCAGTAGACAGCATAAATTATTAAAAAAGCAGTTAAAAATTTAAAAACTTAGGTGTGACATGGGATGGTTTTCCTTAGAATTTTGTTAATTTTTTTTTCTTTAATAGCTACAGAATCCAGAAGTCAGATTTCAACAACAACTGGAACAGCTCAGTGCAATGGGATTTTTGAACCGTGAAGCAAACTTGCAAGCGCTGATAGCGACAGGAGGTGATATCAATGCGGCTATTGAAAGGTTACTGGGCTCCCAGCCTTCATAGCAGCATTTCTGTAACTTGAAAAAAATGTAATTTATTTTTGATAACGGCTCTTAAATCTTTAAAATACCTGCTTTATTTCATTTTGAAACTTGGAATTCTGTGCTATTATAAACGAACCCAATGTGATGCATTTTAAGGTGGGAGTACAATAAGACGTGTGGATTTTTCTGTTTTTTATTTTATTTTTTGACCAGTGGGAATCAATGCTTTTTCATTTAAGGCTATTGCATGCATCAAACACTTCTGCATTTATTGTAATTTTTAAAAAAATCTGACAGATACCACCTTTTATAGTTGGGTGAACAGATTTTGTCCTGCATCTGTCCAGTTTATTTGCTTTTTAAACATTAGCCTATGGTAGTAATTTATGTAGAATAAAAGCGTTAAAAAGAAGCAAATCATTTGCACTCTATAATTTGTGGTACATTTGCTTATTGTGACTTCGGCATGTATTTTTGCAAACAAAATGCTGTAAGATTTATACTATTGACAGGTTATTTTCTTTGTGGGTTTTGTGTTGTTTTTTGTATACAGTATAATATTCACATTTGGGACTGCATTTCTAAAAACTTATTGCAGTAGGTTATCTGAGCAAAACACTGGTAGCCAAAAAAAGGAAAGATAAAGAAATACTCTTTAAGCTGAGTATTAATCTAATTGTATGGACTCTTACAGCATCTTTGATAAACATCTCTCCGCAACAGTGCTGGTTAGTCAGGTTTGTTGAAAATATAGTAGAAAAGCTGATTCTGATTATCTCTTTAAGGACATTTAATTGTACAGAAAACATAATGTAACATTGCAATATTCACAGATTGACTGTAAATTACCTTAATCTTTGTACAGATTGAAGAAACACTGTAGTATACCCAAAAGTGCATTTGCCTAGAACTTTTCCAACTTCTCCCATAGATAGTTTAGCAGGCATTAGATTACAATTTGTAATTGAAATGCTGCTTTCACTGAAAATGTTGTGATGTTTCAGTTATTTTTAATCACCATATAAATAATAGAACTATCTTTTGGGTTTATCAGTTTTTCATGCAGAGGCAATGTGAGTTTAAAAATGATTTGTGACCACTTGTTTCTGAAGTGTTCTGGTAGTTCTCCTAAGAAATAGTTAAATATAGTGCTTTTCAGAGCCTCTGAGAAGGGATATTTTGGGGGAGAATCTATCCTGGATTGGGCCAGTCTAAATAATACTGGCAAACAACATTCTGTTAGGATTTCTGTGCATATAGTGTAGTAAAGAAGTATCAGTCGGGATGAAAAACAAAGAGCCGTGTTAACAATGTTGAGTAATATTTGGCTGTTCTACAGCCTTTTTTCTCCTCCAAAGAAGTTCTGTTTACCTAACTCTCAAACTGTTGGGGTGGTACATTCCTTTAGGACCAATTAAAATGTAACTTTGGGGTCAGTAGTATACTTGGCTGACTCTGGTTCAGTATTCTCTTAGATCATTATATTCTCTCATGTACAGGACGTGAAATGTTAATATGAGTTGAGATCAATAAAATCAAGGGATATACAAGTTTTGAATTCCATTACTTCTGTAAGTTGCTTGCTATTAAAAAAGGTCATGAGGCCATGTTACCTACTGGTCCATGCACTGTTCTGACACTTTCCTTAGGAGGGAAGCATGTACAAAGGTCATTATGGAGGCATGACGAAAGTTGTTAAGGATGATGTTCACATATCTTTGCTCTTCTCTGCCTTATGCCTCAGTCTGGTTTAAAAACTTTTGTACTAGCGAATGGTGGTATAGAGAATGGGATAGTGTCGTAACTAATTTGATGATTTATTAATCGCAAAATAACAATAAACCTCTAGCTTTTACACTTGGTTTGTTTTGACTCTTTTTGTAGAAAGAAAACGATGTCTTCAATTTTCTTTCTTCAACCATGGCTTTTAAAGGCGATTGGAGTTGATTTTACCCCAGATTTTATCATGCTAAGGAGCCCTGTTGGTGCAGTAGTTAAAAAGTGCTGGGCTGCTAACCGAAAGGTCGGGTATTCAAATCCTCTAGCCGCTCCAGGGGAGAAAGATGTGGCAATCTGCTTCCGTAAAGATTTACACAGCCTTGGAAACTTTATGGGGCAGTTCTACTCTGCCTCTAGGGTTTCTATGAATTGGAATAAACTCAATGGCAATGGGTTTGGGTTTCTATCATGCTTGAGGTTAACTCTTCATTTTTCTAGCTCCCTCAATTAAAATGTGCTCATACACTGTGGTGTTTTGACGTGGTGTATTAAAAAATAGCTAACTGCAAAGTTTGGTGACCTGGGTTTTGACTGCTTTCTTTTGTACCTGACTAGTTATTTGACTTCGTGTAAGGCATCATGATTTCTCACTGTAAAAAATGCCAGTGAAACTTACGGGGCACACTGGACTGGGTGATTGATCTCTTAAGTACCTTTCAGCTCCTGCAGTGGTGTGATTTTTTTTTTGTTGTTGTTGTTTGTTTCTAATATGTTTATCTTAGATCTGAATATCTGTTAAAGGGGTGCAGAATACTTAAAAATTCTTAAAGCATTAAAAAGACACATTTAAAATGCTGTACACTAAAGTTGCTCACATACATCGGTTTATTTATTAGATAGTGAATGAAGAATGGAGTGGTGAAAATAACACATCAGAAATTTATTTCCCAAATGGAATATATGTGATATCCTAAATAAAGTGTAGCAAATATTGATCAATCAGATAAATGACAGCTGGCGTTTTTGTGTGTTCAGAATCTCGAGTTTCAGGCGTGGTTTAAATATAGTAAAGGGATGTTTTGTTGGGGGACACATTAGATAACCTACTGTCAAGTTGACTCTGACTCATGGCAACCGTATGTACAACAGAATGAAACATTGTCTGGTCCTGAGTCATCCTCACAATTGCCAGCATCTTTGAGTCCATCATTGTGGCTGTTGTGCCAGTCCATCTCACCAAGGTTCGCCCTCACTCTTGCTGGCCCTCTTCTTCGCCAAACATGATGTCCTCCTCTAGCAATTGATCCCTCCTGATGACGTGTCCAAAGCAAGCAAGTCAGTGTTCTGTTGTGATCCATAAGATTTTCATTGGCTAATTTTCTGAAGTAGAGCACCACATCTTTCTTTCCAGTCTGTTTTTGTCTGGAAGCTCCCCTGAAACTTGTGTAGCATGGGGTGACCCTTCTGGTATTTGAAATACTAATGACATAGCTTCCAGAAACAGCAACATGCATGCCACCACGGTATGACAAACTATAAATTTAATGGGCAAATCATGACAGAAATAGAACAGAATAGGTAAAAATGAATAGGTTAGTGACAAATTGTTCTTTTCCCTATTTCTTTAAAGCCAAACCACGTGTAGTGTGTTTGTGTATACATGTATAACACGTGGTGGTTGTTGGGTGCTGTCGAGTCAGTTCTGACTTATAGTGACCCTGTGTACAACAGAATGAAACACTGCCTGGTCCTGCGCCATCCTCACAACCATTGTTATGTTTGAGTTCATTGTTGTAGCCACTGTGTCAGTCCATCTCATTGAGGGCCTTTCCTCTTTTTTGCTGACCCTTTACCAAGCATGGTGTCCTTCTCTAGGGACTGATCCCTTTTGTAGTAACACGTCCAAAGTATATAAGATGAAGTCTTGCCATCCTTGCTTCTAAGGAACATTCTGGCTGTACTTTTTCCAAAACAGATTTGTTAGTTCTTCTGGCAGTCCATGGTATATTCGATATTCTTCACCAACACCTTAATTTAATGGCATCAGTTCTTCTTCGGTCTTCTTTGTTCATTGTCCAGCTTCACAAGCATATGAGGCGATTAGTCCTCAAGGTGACATCTTTGCTTTTTAACACTTTATGTTAAGGTGTAATCCATACTGAAGGCTGTAGTCTTTTATCTTCATCAGTAAGTGCTTCAAGCCTGCTTCACATATGGTTAAGGCAGGGAAATACTGCATATTATACTTCTCTTAGAGAATAACATTAAATTAAGCATGTGAAAGTTAACGAGAATCCAGCATTTTTCCATTCTTACTATAACTTCCTTTTCATTTAACAACTCTTTTTTCAAGGTATTGCTTTATCAAGTGAACCCTGGGAAAAGCTGTACTTAGCAAATCTCACTTTTCTAGTTTCACGTGGTATTCTCTACCTAGAATTTCATCTTTCATCTTTGGCTTATGTAAAGCCTACCCTTCTTTCTGGGCTTAGTTCTGAAGTCTTCCTAAACTTTAGTAGTCTACAGTGATTGAGCCCTGGTGGCGCAGTGGTTAAGTACTTGGCTGCTAACCTGAAAGGTTGGCAGTTCGAACTCAGCTGCTGTTCTGCAGGAAAAAGATGCAGCTGTCTACTTCTGTAAAGATTACAGCCTTGGAAACTCTGTGGTGTGGTTCTACTCTGTCCTGTAGGGTCTCTCTGAGCTGGAATCGACGCGTAGGCAGTGCAATAGATTTTTGCTTTTTGAGTACCAGGCTCTTTCCTAGTTGCTGAAGAGTATGTTGTTTTTGGTTGCCATTGAGTCAGTTCTGACTCACGGTGACCCCATGTGTACAGAGTAGAACTGCTCCATAGGGTTTTGAAGGGTGTGACCTTTCGGAAGCAGATCGCCAGGCCTGTCTTCTGTGGTGCCTCTGGGTGGGTTTGGATCACCAATCTTTTGGGTAGTAGAGCACTTAACCATTTGTGCTACCCACCAGCTCCACTGAAAATACAGCAGTAATGTGGGGTTTCCATATTAGAATTTAGGGAGACAAAAGTAAAACATTTATAGACTGTCAGCTAGTGACAGGTGCTTTGGCAATAAAGAAGGTAAGGAGGCTAGTTCAGGAGAGGCGTGTTCGTATTTTGCATGGGGCATTTAGAGAAGGTCTCATTGATAAGATGACATTTGAACAAAGACTTGAACACTGCCTGGAGGAGAGGTACAGCTTTCCAGGAAGAAGGGCAGAAAAGCCGGCTAAGATGAGTGTGTTGAGTGTTTGCACAAGGAGTACAGTGTAGCTGGAGTAAGATGGGAACTAGGGGGGCAGTAAGGAATAGGGTTGGAGAGGTGTTCCTGTGGAAGGCTTCTTAATATACAAATTTCTAGGCCCCACCCTCAGAGTTTCTGATTTCCTAGTCCTGGAGTTGGGGAAGAATTTACATTTCTAACAAGTGCCCATGTGAGAACCTCTGGTCCAGGTGGCTGGGAGCAGAGGGACTGTTAGGTGTAGTGGAGTATGTTTTGAAAGTAGAGCCAGTAGGATTTACTGATGGATAGAGAGATGAGAGGTTAAGAGCAAGAGAGAAGTCAAGCAAGGCAAACAAGGTGGAGAAACATGGGAAGGAAGGAGTACAAATGAGAAATTTAGTTTTGACGTGTTAAGTTAGTGATACTTAATGAATATAAGAGGAAATGTGAAGGCTGTTGGAGGCGTTCAGGCTATAGACGTTTTACAGCTGCCAGTATGTATATAGATGATATTTAAAGTCAAGGTACTAGATAAGTCAGTGGTTCTCGGCTGGGAGCTATTTTGCTTCCCAGGGGGCTTTTGGCAATGTCTGGAGACCGGGGATGCTGCTGAACACCCTATAATGCCAGGACAGCCCCCATAATAAAGATTATCTGGTCCAGAATGTTAATGGTGCTGAGGCTCAGAAATGCTGAACTATATGAATTTCAGGGAGGGAATGCTGATAGACAAACTTTAGGAAGACTGAGCCCTTAGTTTACACCAACTTCTAGGTCAGGGAGCTGAGAGGAAACCAGCAAAGGAGATGAAGAGGCAGCTAGTAAGGTAAGAACAGAGAGAGGTCCTGAGAGCAAGTGAAGAAACCTCTCCAAGAAGTGTGATGAACTGGGTTAAACGCTATTGCTTCAAGGAGTCATCATGGACTGAATATTAGCTGTTAGACTTAGTAAAGGGAAGGACCCTCATGACTATGACTAGAGGTTTCTAGAGTTGTGGGGGTAGATTTCTGGTTGGAGTGGACTGAGGAGATATCAAGAGGTCCAGAGTTTTGAAGTAAAGAGAATGAGGGAAATAGGGCAGTAGCTGAGGGGAAGGGAGAGTAGTGTTGATGTGGGGCAAGAGGAAGCTTGCTTTTTATTTTAAGATGGAAAGTACTACAGCATGATTGTATTCTAATGGGAATGATCCATTGCGGGGGCGGGGGGGGGGGTATTTTCTACCAGAAAACAGAAAGGAATGATTGATTGCTAGCTTTTGATCCCCACAGTATGTTGTATGTGTTTAAATACCTTCATTACATGAATTAAGATGCTAGTTTTCTAAGGCTTGGGCCCCAGACTGGCCCAGCATCACTTCTGCCATATTCTAATGGTCAAGCAGTTTTTCTTAGCTCACCTTTGTTTAAGGGGAGTGGTCATAAGCCCCACCACTAAATGGGAGGAGTGTCAAAGAATATGTGACCATAGTAATGTACCACACAGTATAATCACAGAAGCAGTACAGTTTTTTCTCCACTGCTCACTCTTTTCTAAGGGAAAAGTAGTGACTTAGGTGATTGTTGAATACTGTAGAAACAACTAGTATGCTTGACTGAGTACCCCGCACTTCTTTGGAAATGTCTGTCCAAAGGAAGCATGCATTCTAGTCTGTTGTCTTACCATATGATAAGGTTAGTGAGATAGGCTTGGCCCCTGTGGGAAAGGCCTGTAGTTTTTGCTCTCTTTCTAAAAATTTACCACTGTCACCATCTTAGTATACAACTTAGTGGCATTAAGTACATTCACAGTGTTGTGCAGCCATCACCACTGTCTAGTTCCAGAACTTTTCATTCCCCAAAAGGAAACCTTGTACTACTAATCGGCTTGCTGTCTCTGAATTTACCTGTTCTGAATATATTATGTAAATGGAAT